TCACATAAGGATTATTTTTACTGGGTTTTATTGGTTGCTATTCTAATTTATTTATAATTTATCAAAATTCATTTTTTTTTTGTTTAAATATCTTCTCACACAAGTTTTTAAAAGAATTCAAGAAAGAAGGAGAAACGTTTCTCAGATCAAAAATTTTTTATATTAATCTTTTTTAAATACGTTTTGCAGCAAATTTAGTTAACAAACCTAATTTTGTTTGTTGAGTTTATTACAAATTATTTTCTCCACTTTATCAAATGATTTAAATTTTTATTTTAGCTCCTGAACATAATTGTAACCAAAAGGTCGAGTAGTAAAAAATAAGAATATTTATACGTTAATATATGATAACAATAGTGGAATTCTCATAAACGATTAATGTTCGTATTTCAAACAGCAATTTTAGAATATAAGGTTTAAGTCCTTTGTTTAAAAAGAAATTGGACAAAGAATTGGAAAGTGTTTGTGGTCAGGGATAAGTATACAATAACCGAAGTAGTATTACTGTATTGTCTCTAGAAACTTGGAAGTAAACATAAGTTCTTATTTATGTAAAAGTTGGAAATAGAAGGTTATGCGGTTTGGAAGTACCAACCATTGAGCTTGTGTTTGAGAAGTCACAGAATTTGAAATCATGAATGTGTTACTTGTGTGAGTCCATTTCAAATAGGTAAAGAAATAATAAATAAGACTTACTCACAATCAATTTATTTTAACTATCCAGACGACCGGTTTCGCTTTCTACAATATGCAAAGCATCTTCAGGTCTTGATACAAAGTTAAATAAATGCTGAAATAATAATAAACCCATATTAGGGTGTTGTCTAATAAAGATAAACAAAGTAGATGATATAAATTACAGTATTTATGCCAATATTACATATCTGTGGTTTTTCAAAATGAATAAAAAGGAATAAAAAGGTATAAAAAGTTTTAACAGACTGGACAGACAAGGTAAGACCCACAAATTGTTATAAAATAGTCTATTCTTCTTCTTCGGGTTCCTTCTCCCAGCGGAGGTTGGAAATCATCATCGCTATTTTAACTGTGTTGGCCGCATTTCTGAATAATTCTAATGAGCTGCAGCCGAACCACTCTCTCAAATTTCTTAGCCAGGACATTTTGCGTCGTCCTGGGTTTCTCTTCCCTTGTATCTTCCCTTGCATAATCAACCTCAGTAATACGTACTTCTCACCCCTCATTAAATGTCCCAGATATTGAATCTTTCTAATTTTAACAGTTTTTATGACTTCACATTCTTTCTTCATTCTTTGTAACACCTCTATATTAGTTACTTTTTCAATCCACGATATTTTATGCATTCTCCTGTAGCACCACATCTCAAAGGAGTTTAATTTTTTGATTTCAGACTGCTTTATTGTCCACGCTTCCATGCCATATAGTAAAGTAGAGAAGACGTAACAACGTAGCATTCTTGTGCGAATCTCTAGATTAAGGTTACGGTTGCAAAATAATAGTCTATTAAATTGTAATAAATTAATAAATGAGCAAATAAATAAAATATTACTTACATGCCGGTACGGTAGAACATGGTTGAAAATATCATGTATTATTGAATGGAGAACTTAAGTCTGCTATTGTAGTTGTTTGACAATAAACGGGAAGTTCTTGAGGAGATAGATTTGATCCAATGAAGTAGAGATAGGTGTAATGTGGTTGTTTGTTAGATGAAAGTGATGTTATATACCATTAAATTATTTAAAAGTTATTTATACTTATTCAAGAAATATATTTATGAAATGTGTGTTGTTTATCGAGATTTTATTTTATGAAGGTGACAGTTTTATGACAATGAATAAGATTAGATGTACAAATTGTGTGGGTGTGCAATTTTTTCAACTTGTAATTACCAAATTTCTTTGATAAAGTTCTATTGGCATATATGGTAAATTATTGCAAAGTCAAGTATATAAAATTATTAAAGTTAAAACCATTAAGGACAATTTAAACACACAGAAAACAGAAAACACTTAAAAGGGACGAAACAAACATTAAATTTAAAAGGGAAAGGACTTTTATGCACTACATCTGTCTTGGAGACGAGTTTTTTATGTTATCTATTAGATTTTAGAGGTAAATTTGACATATGTAGGTTAAAATGTGACAGTTCTTCTTTTATTTCTCAATACTGTAAGTTAAGTTATCCAGTTTTATGAAATATGCTGATATTAATGAATGTCTCTAAAATTGTTTTAATTATATATAATATTGGCATACTTTAACAATCTTTAATTAATTAAATTTAAATGTAACAATACAAATAATTGAAATACATCCTCTATTATAACTAACTCAGTTTAGTCAAAATTACAGAACAAATTAAAGTGATTATTTTGTAATCAAAATGTATAACAAATTTACAAAATTTATTTGAAATTATTCTTGGTGTGATTTACCTGTCATGGTGTGTATAAATATTTTTTTAAATATTTAATTCAAGTTCTGATATCTTCTTCTTCTTCTTCTTAGCCTTCTGTCGTCCATGTTTGGACATAGGCCTCTCCCAACTCCTTCTATCGGTCTCTATCCTGAGCAACATATTTCCAATTTGTTCCGGCTATTCTTCTTATGTCATCAACCCATCTCATCTGTGGTCTTCCTCTTGGTCGTTTACTTTCGTAAGGTCTCCAATGTTGTATGGTAGTATTCCAACGTTGTTCTTTCTGTCTAGCAGTGTGGCCCGCGAAGCTCCATTTAAGTTTTGCAATTTTTATTGTTATGTCCTCGACTTTTGTTTTGGATCTTACTCAGTCGTTCCTCTTTTTATCTGACAGTCGTATACCCAACATTGCTCTTTCCATTGTTCTTTCTGTTGTGGCTAGTTTATTCATGTTTGCCTTGGTTAGGGTCCAGGTTTGACATCCATATGTCATGATAGAAAGGATGCATTGGTTGAACACTTTGCTCCTCAAGTATTGGGGTATTTTGCGGTTCTTAAGTATCCAACTACGTTTTCCAAATCCTGCCCTTACGAGTCTTGGTCTTCTAGTAATTTCCGCACTTTGGTTCTCTTTGTCAAGTCTCAGGATTTGGCCTAGGTAGATATATTCCTGGATTTGTTCTATTTCACTGCCGTAGTGAGTTCTGATATATTAATATGTGACTAAAGTAATAAGTGGATAATTATTGATGGTAAATTAATTTATGAATTCAAGAAATTGACTGAATTATTAAGCTTTCAATAATTAGTTGATAATTCTAACATCTGACAGTTGGAACCAGAAATTGGTTATACCAACAGGTAAAAGGCACTCTATTTAAACCGGTGTAAAGGAAATTTATTCTTGTTTCAATTTTTCGTGTCACATAAACAGTTATTACTACAATTTAATAGACTATTTTATAACAATTTGTGGGTCTTACCTTGTCTGTTAAAACTTTTTATACCTTTTTATTCCTTTTTATTTATTTTGAAAAACCACACACATGTAATATTGGCATAATTACTGTAATTTATATCATCTACTTTATTTATCTTTATTAGACAACACCCTAATATGGGTTTGTTATTATTTCAGCATTTATTTAACTTTGTATCGAGACCTAAAGATGCTTTGCATATTGTAGAAAGCGAAACCGGTCGTCTGGATAGTTAAATTAAATTGATTGTGAGTAAGTCTTATTTATTATTTCTTTACCTATTTCACAGAATTTTATTGGTTGAAAGGGATGGTGTGGTATGTACGATGTGTATGTCTGATTGGAGAAAAGGAGAAGGAGAGATTAAAGTAATGTTTTGCCCGGGAAAAGAAAGAGTACTGTGATTTGAACATTGGAAGAAGCAATTTGTTTTTGTTCTATATCCTGCAGTAAAAGTTCGTGTCAAATAATAATTGTGAAAGGTGTTTGGTGTCTGTGGAACGAGCCCCAAGGATTGGTAGCAGTGGTGGACAACGAAAGTACATCCTGTAATCATCAAGCAGTTGTATAGTGTATTTGTGAAAATTCGATTAAGTGAAAATCCTTTCGACTAAAAATAAATTGGGTTTCCGTAAGATAGGAATTTGGTCCAGGTGCTTTTGGAGAGACTGTTGCGGCGATAGTGTGTACGAGAGACATTGACAATGAGAAAAGATATCAGGCGTGTGTAGAACAACAGAGAGTACGAGCAAAAGGTGGGAAAATCACAGTCATGAGAAGAAAAAGAGCCAGTAGAGAATTATTAGAAATAAAAGGTTGGTTTGCCATAGAATCAACAAAGACTTTTAACCACGATCATAAGTAGATCATAATTAGTTTGTTTTTTTTTAATATTTTATTCAGTGATTTCAGTTCATAATAAATATAATCTTTTAATTCAGATATAAAACATTCAAAGAAGTAATATTTCTTGAAAAAAAATTTTTGTCTTGAATTAATTTTAAAAATAAAACACAGTGAAGAAATCTTTTATTTAAATACAAGTCCAGACAATTATTGATTTTTTTTTGTGTGTTTTGGCTTGGACAATTGTCATTCAGCCAGTCTCAATCAAGATAAGTTTATTAATGTAGTGTGTGTGTGTGTGTTTGTGTGTGTAGAGTAATTGTCTTGATACTTAGCAAAAGACAATTATTGATAATGGTTATCGGAATTTTATTGAATTTGTAATTTTAATTATACGGATTAACCCATATGATATATGATTTTGATTAATTGTAAAAATATCTGACTTTAATATTTTTTTTTATTCTTTTTTAAGTAAATTATTTAATAGTTTAATTTATTTTCTTATTGTTCATCCTTTTTTCAAAAACAATTGCTTAAATAATACTTTAAATCCACTTATTATAATTAATAAATAAATACAATAAATATATTTGTTTTTGCAAAATTAAGCCTAAGGCATATTAAATCAATTAAACATATAAATGGTCCAAATTAAATATACATATATATATATATATATATATATATATATATATATATATATATATATATATATATATATATATATATATATATATATGTATATATATATATATATATTACTATTAAAGATTTCAATAAAGGTTAACAAAGTAATAGGTTGTTTATATGTAATATTTAATAGATAATTACAATTCAATCATATATATTTTACATTATTGCCGCTTATTCATAAGATTCCAGTGTTTTCTTTATCCATCCACGAAAATAGGCAACGTTTGTGTATCCAGCAGGAGGTTTATTTTCAAAACAACCTGGACCAAACGATACAATACCCACTAGTGTACCATTTAGTTCTAAGGGTCCTCCAGAGTCACACTAAAATATTTTAGAATTATTTTTTATGTTAACTGGATGTTAATATTTGTAAATATAAGTAGAAGAAAATTTAACATAAACTAATTTAGATTCAACAAAAAAATGTTAATAATATTTGAATAGTCAAAATAAATAAAAAAAGCTACCAATAGAACTAAGAAACACTATGCGTCAGTTTTAAAAAGGATAAAAGTTGATGTTAATATTTTAGATTAAAATTTAATTTTACGTGCTGTTTTCTGACGTAGTTTTAAACCAAATTTTAAATATAACCCACATTAAAATGTAACGTGTTTTTGAAATTAATTGACAATCTTATACAAGATTGGTTTCGACGCAAACATTGATTTCTTATGATTAGCTGTAAATTTTAAGCGCCAAACTGGTCGTATTATATTCCAAGCACCACTATTCCTTGAAGTATTGTAAGAAAATACTCGCAGGTAATGCGTTTTGACAATGAGACACAGGCATCAGTTTACAACGGGATGAAATTTGACAAAAACGGGTAGAAAACTTCTAAATTTTATTGAAGGTATTTTAGATATGGCATACAAGTTTTGCATTTATGTGATAATAAAACTTCTTATGCACTTAAATTGCAGATCAACTTAGTTCTGCTGTGATAGAACACAGTTCAGGAATGCGTGTCGTTTGCGACTGAAGTAGTGATTTGAGATTCCATAATTTTACATGTCTTGATTTTTAAGTTAATATTTGGTCTCCTTCTTCGAATGTCAACAGAGGAAGGTTCAAAATCAGGGTTCCGAAGATATTCCAGAAATCTCCTTGAACGAAATTTACAAGGTCCTAAAAAAGATGAAGAATAACAAAGCTCCGGGGGAGGACGGTGTCGTCACGGAAGCGATAAAGATAGAAGGCTCAGTACTGATAGCCAAAATTCAAAAGCTCTTTAATCTATGCCTATGGAATCAAAATATCCCAACAAAGTGGAATAATTCAATAACTGTACTCTTACATAAGAAGGGAGATATAGCAGACCTATAAAGATACTGACCAATCAGTTTCCTTAACCATCTTTATAAATTATACACCCGAATAATAACGAATATATTAGAGACAAAGCTGGATTTTTACCAACCTCGGGAACAAGCTGGTTTCCGCCCTAATTACGGCACAAACGATCACCTGCAGTGCCTAAAAACCCTAATAGAAAAAAACTAATGAATATAACCGTCCCTTGGCATCGATATTTGTAGACTTTAAAAAGGCGTTTGATACAGTGGAACTACCGTCCATCTTAAGAGCACTACTACTTAAGATTGCAGGATCGACCACAGATATTGTAATATAATTAAAAATATATATGAAAATGCCACAACAACCATAAGTCTATATTCTGCAACTAATAAAATAAAGATAAAAAGGGGAGTCAGGCAAGGTGATACCATGTCACCAAAGCTGTTCATTACCGTTCTTGAGTATGCATTTAAAAAACTAACATGGCAACAGAAAGGAATATCCATCGATGGAGAAAGATTAAACCATCTACGTTTTGCGGACGATATCGTGCTTCTGTCAGATAATTTGGGAGAGATCAAAGACATGCTCCAAGAACTGAATGACATACTACAAGAAACTGGGCTGGAGATAAATTTCGAGAAAACCAAAATGATGACCAATATGGTTCCCAGCGAAGAGATACAGATCAATAACAACAAGGTAGAATTAATCGATAAATACACATACTTGGGTCAAGAAATAAGAATAACCAGAGACAACCAAACCTGCGAGCTAAATAGACGAATCATGTTGGGATAGGCGGCATATGAATGGATGAGAGACATTTTTAAAACAAATATCCCAATTCACCTGAAAAGGAAGGCATTTAACCAATGCATCTTACCAGTCTTGACCTACGGAGCAGAGACCTTAACTTTAACGAAAGCTACTGCCGAAAAACTGAGGGTAACACAAAGGCGAATGGAGAGATCAATGCTGGGCCTGACCTTGAAAGATCGCGTAAGAAATGAGTAGATACGCCAACGAACTGGCGTAGACGATATTATACTGGAATCAATAAACAAAAGTGGAGGTGGGCTGGACATGTTGCTAGAATGGAAGACGGAAGATGGACGAAGAGATTATTGGAGTGGAGACCAAGAGCCGACAAGCGAAGTCGAGGCAGACCACCCACCCGATGGACCGACGACCTAAGGAGGAAAGAAACAAACTGGATTGCAGCAGCTAGAGATAGAGAGAACTGGAGACGTTTGGAGGAGGCCTATATCCAACAATGGATGTAAAAATTCGGCTGGATGATGATTTAGTCTTTTCTACTTTAACTAAAGTATTAGTGTTTTGAACTATATTTATAAAAAAATAAAAATATTGTTCTATGAAAATGGACAGAAATGACAAAAAACCTTAAATCATAGATTACAATTATATAAACGGGGGGGTAAAGAAGTAGAAAGCAAAAACATGAATTTGGTTCCAGGTTACTGCACTTAGTCACTTCTACTCAACTGTGTAGGGGGTGTAGGGTTGTGTTATAGAGGTAGCACCTTTTATTGGAACGACCAGATCGAGCGTCGTAGACGGGAGATGGTTCTTGATAACTGGTCCTCATAAGATATCTAACTATTACTTATGGATCCACGTGCCACACCCCGGGCAACTACATTGATCTGCTGGCTAAACTAAGCGAGGGTAGCCAGATATGGCGAAAATTTCACCGACCTATTGCCGGTATAAGGAATCCCACACTTGCTAATCAACTACTCTGGGCGGAAGAATTGGTAGGTGGTAGGGCACCCTTTTTGTCCTGGGATTGAGAAATTGGTCCCGAAGGTGGATGAACCAATATCTTGGTCAACGGCGCAATTATGTAGAAGGCAAGGAGACACCACTACATTAAAGATCCCTATGTATATCCCTAGTACAATCATTATGGTTTTGGAAACTAATAAAGACGTTACTGATCATATCCTTTGGAAGAAAAGATCCGACAGGGAAGAAGATGACATAAACCCTCAGGTCGTTAATCAGCGAGTTCCTTGTTAAAAGAACGTATATGAGAAAATAAGACCGAAAACAGTAGAATAGGAACCTGGAATGTTTAGAGCATGTTTCAGTCTGGTAAAATGAACAATGTTATTCAATAAATAAACAGGGTATATCTATGTACTGGGTATCAGTGAAGCCAGGTGACCTAACTTGGGTTGTTTTTCAACAGACGAAGCCACAATAAATTATTCCGGTAGCGAGAATAACCAACACGGACACGGCGTGGCAGTAATAGTTAATAAAAAATCTAATAGGTCAGTGGGTTGCTATTTCCCTATCTCAGAGAGGTGATCTCAATGCAGAGATTGGAAAGGGAAAAAGCATAAGTGTCTAAGAAGCTATGGTCTGGAATATCGAAACGAGAGAGAAAACCGTCTGTAACAATTTTGTCAAGAGCAGAACTTATTTATTACAAACACATTTTTCAAGTTATCAAACAGACAATTTTATACATGGCGATCGCCCGTAGATACATCGAAAATAGTCATCAGGAACCAGATAGACTACAATAAGAATAATGATATAAAACGTAATGGTGTTTAATCCGTGAAAGCATATTCTAGATCAGACGTGGCCTCATATCAGAATACACTTATCGCCAAGATTACACTCACCCTTAAGAATATTAAAAGACAACAAAGAATTCCTATAATACAAGAAAACTTAAAGAACCTAACGTAAAAGAATTCCTCCAACATGAACTGCATGTGAACTGCAGCAAATTAAACACAGACACTAATGATATTGACGAGTACTGGGATCGACTAAAACATTGTCTACTGGAATCCTATAAAGAAATACTAAAGACTTTCGCAAGGAGAAAAAAAGATTGGATGAATGACGAAATACTCAATATGATGGAACAACGGAGACAATTTAAAAACAAAGACAGCAATAAATACAGAGAGTTAAACCGCGAGATCAGGAAGCTGATAAAGCAGGGAAAAAAATTACTTTGAAGAGAAATTCAAAGAGATCAAAGACCTTCAAAATAAATATGATCTGTTTAACCTATACAACAAAGTTAAAGAACTGGCAGGATTAAGAAAACAAAATCCCACTGGTGCACTTCTGGATAGATATGGGACTACTATAACACAGACGGACGGGAAAGTACAATGATGGACAGAATATATCGACGAACTGTTCGATGATGAATCTGGAGCACATAGAACTTACGTCAGTAGAAATAGGTCCATATATTACAAAAGAAGAAATATTACACGCATTAAAAATAATGAAGAGTGGGAAAAGCCCTGGGGTATAGGGTTGTGTTATAGAGGTAGTACCTTTTATTGGAACGACCACATCGTCGGGTCGGGAAGGTCGTCGTCGGGATCGATTGGAGCGTCGTAGACGGGAGATGGTTCTTGATAACTGGGGATAAGACACCTAAACTAAGTGAGGGTAGCCAGACAGAAGTTTTCTGACTCGGAAAACTAGTACCTACTAAGGGTCCCTTGTCCAAGGTCATGGATGAAGACCACAACGGCATGACTCAACCGTCTGGAGGGCGGAGGTGCAGCCCCATGGTTTTAGGGCTTGTATAAAATCGAACCTGGAAATCGGCAGCTGGTTTTTGAGTTTGCATTAAGCGGAAGTCATATAGGCCAGAATGGTCAGTACATAACAGTACCCGGTGCGATGGTAACCACTTAAATAGCGTGTACACAGCGGTGTAGAAAGCCAAGGAAATGACTACTACACTATTTTTCCCAGGTTTATCAATATGGCTGAGGAATTAAACGATGGCCCCGAGTACGGGCTCCTTTTAAATGAGGCAGGGAGGCGAAGAATCTCCCGCTTGGCCAAATTTGATATTGAAAAAAGCTGTAGAATAGGCACATAAAATGTGCGGAGTTTATATGAACCCGGAAAAACACACAATGCCATAAATGAGATGAGAAGGCTGCAAATATCAATTCTGGGTATTAGTGAAATGCGATGGCCCGGATCTGGTTAATGCCACG